GTTAAATCTCCCCGGTTTTTGTCAATATTTTGCTGTATATTTCACATTTTTCCCAGCCGAGGTGGKTTATTCCAGTTCATTTGAATTCAGAGTGAGTTGTTTTCAGCGGGGCTAACTTCGGAGCCAGGTCGTCCTGCTTTTGCGGGAAAATTTGCGACGCCGACTGCAGGCCAAGCCGTAAATCACAGCCACGCAATTTCCATTCGCAAAAAACATATTTAATCGCTTCATCTGTTTCTCGCTACGCATGCCCCTTGGAGATTTTTATTTTATTATTTAATTTTCAAATATTATATTAACCCCTCAAACTATTTGTGTCATTGTTAGGTTTGAAGAGTAAAACAATGGATTTTTGTCCTGCAATGAAAAAAAACGATTGAAATTTATCATCGTAGGTTTCRTGTCAAACAACATCAAGCTATAATACAGGCAGTAAAGATGTCTCCTCCAAACTGACAGCTCCCAAACCTCAGTTCATAAACCTGTCTGGAGATTATGTGCATGGCTGAGACACAGGGTCTAACTACTTGGCCGGCTAAGGGATGGAAACAGTTCCTGCACGACTATATTCTCACTCTTGACGGTGCATTGGAGAGCGCTCGCGCACAACTCCGGGGATGGCTTGAAACTTTTTTTCCCCCCCTGTGAAACAACAATCGGACACAGATAATTCAGCTGCTCCTTATTTGGCTCGGCCTTGGAACATGGTCGCTTTTCCCATGACATTCCTTGAGAATTTGCTCATTATGCAAAGTAAAATGCAACAATATTGTCTGAGGATAACAAACAGTTTGTGTTTAGACTCCCATTTAAAACCTAAAACCCCAACTCCGCATCCAAGATTCCAAAACGGCTGCGTCAGTGTAACCATAGTGCTGCAATTTGGTTAAACGGCGAAGATGAAAGCCGAACTACGTTTTTACATGCCCTCTAGACTGCTTGCACATTTTTCTAAAAGCACCAATGTCTGGTTGTGTAATTACACACTAAAATGCATTTTTTTCCCCTTTTAAGTAAAACGACCGTCACTGCACAAACACTAYACACTCCGACGCCACTAATGACAATTGTGGCATTAAAATAATCAATGTTCYTCATCAGAGGCTGTTTTTATCCCGATGAGAACTCATCATAACAAAATAATAAAGTTTAGATTACGTGAGCTGTTTTCTATTAAAAAAAGTGGCTTAAATTATGTAAAAACCAAAAAACTAAACAAATAAAAAGTTTTGAACTGTTTCGTTTTTGGAAAAGAAAACATTTTTAGTCTCATTTGAAATAATTAAAACTTCTTTAACTGCTTTAAGTTCATTTACTTGAGCAGTTCAAGACTACACCTTCTCCTCCAGTGATGACTGAAAAAAAAAAGTTAATCACCTCTATAATGACTTGGCCGTATAATTCTGTCCATAACCTTTTGAGTAATCCACCTAAAAATAATAAATAAATAAAAACAGTGCATAAACTCTGACAGACAGGCCAATCTTTAAAATAATAATAATAAACCACTTCCAGTTGCCATTTTATTTTAGCATTTTAAAGTTAATTTATGTTATATTTTCAATAAAGACTACAGGTTTCGAAGTAGTTCGATTCATTTCCACACAAAACATTCTTTAAGTTGCTTTTGAAATGTAAAATTGTACTTTTACACTGTAAGAAACATGTTAGAATTCATTTGTTGTGTCGACTAGTTCTATTTCACTGTGATGTTTCAATGCAAAGCTTTGTCCTTAAACAGTTAATGGATTCAAAAGATTTCAAAGCCTCCTAAAAACAAAAAGTGTAAAATAAATTAAAGATTGTTAAAATGTATTAATAAGATTTAGACTCTTTGAAGGGCAAGTGGGAGATGGACTTGGAGGGATCCATATCAGACACAGTTTGGCAAAAAATTTTTCAAAATATATATTCGTCCTCAATATGTGTGAAACATGTTATAGTTCAATTCAATGTAGTACATCGTCTACACTGGTCTAAGGACAGATTGTGCAAATTCAAAAGGGACTTGGATCCATCGTGTGATCGTTGTAAACAATCTCCTGCCACACTTCTACACACATTCTGGTCCTGTCCAAAGCTACATGGATACTGGCAAGGCATCTTTGACACCTTTTCAGGACTATTTGGACGAACTGGTCATCCTTCACCATTCATCTCTCTCTTTGGGGTGGCTCCAGCAGAAGCTTCCCTCAGTRAACATCAGAGGACGGTGTTAGCTTTCTGCTCTCTACTGGCTAGAAGACTTATTCTTCTTCGATGGAAGGATCCACATCCTCCAGTATATGGTCATTGGTTAAGAGAAGTTATGTCTTACATTCATTTAGAGAAGATTAGATATACTGTTAGGGGATCTGTAAACAAATTCTTTGACATCTGGCAGCCATTTTTATCTTATGTAGAAAAAATTTCGGCAGATAATTTTGTGTAAAGGTTAAATAGTTTCATTGTACGCAAACCTTTTTATTGTATCACTTGTATTAATACAAGATTGATTTTTGTTGTCTCAGTAGATCCGGTATAGGAAGGGGTGGGATGTGTAGGATTTCGGGTGTTTGTGTTTTTGTTAGTTTGTTGTTTGTTTTTTGTTGTGTATTAGGTTAAAAAATAATAAAAAATACTTTGATCAAAAAAATGTATTAAAAGCCGCCCTGGCCTAGAGCAACTGTGCATGAAAAAGGAAAACACATATTTAGTTTATTATCTCAAATGAATGCTTTAAGACACCAAAATCTGCTTATTTAGTCAAAAACTTCCTAAAAGCTTTCAACTCAAGATAAAATAATTGTGTAACTTCATTTTTTAGAGTGAGTGATTCACTTTTCAAAACTCTGACTTCTTCATCAACTTGGTAAATCTTAACTCTGTAAAAGTAATATGACAGATGTTTGAAAAAATGTGTCCTTTTCATCTGGAAATCTATTCTGTGTTCTGTTCTCTTAGTCTGAGCTCTTAGCTTTAACATCTGACCTGCACCTTAAGCAGTTTCCATTTATAAAAAATGATACAAGATTTCAGTGTTAAGATTGTTTTAAATAAAAATCTAAAAATAAAGCCTTATTATTGACCTCTGTGTGGGAATGTTAGGTGTCATCACGGTTGGTTTGAGGGGGGCTGCACATCGCCCCRGTGTCAGGGACATGAAGAAACGACACGGGGTGTGATTTGTTAAACGCGGGACACCCACTTGTGTTGTCCTGACAATACTGGGGACATCTGGCAGCGGCCCCGCCGCCCGCCGCCGAGGTCTCCATCCGCTTTCTCGAGCAGTGAGCTGTGCAGCATTGAAGCACTGCTCGTTTATTCTCATGCTAATGCTCAAAAGGCAGGAGCAGATGTGAAACATTTGGTTCTGTTCTTGTTCGCTTGTAAAGGAATCATGTGGCCCGCTATCATCATTTCACTTGTTTTGTTCTTCTATGTGTCATAAAAAAGCTGCTCGTGGCAGAGGGCATCTTCTTTGGTGGCCCTCCCGTAGCGCTGCATGTGACCCGCTGAATCTCAGATAACTATGGGAATAACTGGGAGGAATTTTATAGCTTAATATTATGCAAGTGGCCCGTTTTGTTTATGATGGAACACTTGCTGTTGATTTGTTTGTGTTTTTTTACGAGTCAGAGTACCCCGTTAGAAATAAAACCACGCAGCCACAATAAATAATACATTACCTGTTCAAAACTATATAGCTCCAATAAATCTAAAATACAGATCTGCAATAAAATTTAATACAAAAGAGGATTAGGGCCACTGAAAAAATAAAAAAAGGAATTCTGACTTTAATCTCAGAAATCTGAGAAAAAAAAGTCAGACTTCTGAGATTAAAGTCAGAATTCTTTTTTTTTTCCAGTGGCCCTAATCCTCTTCCGTAAATATCCACTAAGTTAATTACATGAATTTTTATATAAAACGTGAGGCTAAATTTTCAATTCTTTGATTGTTGTGTTGCAAATAAATAAATAAAAATCAGACTCTTAGATGTTTGTTATTGGTTTAAAGATATAGAAAGACACTCATCAAAAATAGCTATATTAAACTCTTCATACTCGTTTTACATATTTGCATTTGAGTTTGAATCTATTTCTATGTTGATGTTACCATTTTTAACACAATTTTAACTTTAATATCTAAACTTGGCAGATAAGAGCCGTACACAAACGTCTCCGCCCACCTGAATGATCATTGGTTGTTCTGTTCTCTCCTCCTCACCTGATTGGCCAGCAGGAACGTCTGTCAGGCAAACTTAACGTGTGGGACAAGTTTACAACTCTGTGCACGTGCGGCTGGTGCTTCTAGCATCCTACATCCGCRAGGAGAAGCAGAGGCTGTAACCTGTCAGCTTATTTTGACTAAGCACGGTTTTTTTTAGTTGTTTGTTTTTATTTTTTCCGTCATTTACCTCCAGCTCACCTGTGCGCGTCAGGTGTCAGCATTTTCCGAGGGTTCATGCTCCACAGCCCCCTGTAGATGAAGGCTCGAGCCCTCTGCTTCTTCATGGCAAGAAGACCCGGGGATGTCCGTCTAGCATGGCTCTGCCTCCGGCCGCTCGGGGACGAGTATGGCTTTTAGCCGCATCCACAGACTGGACCCCCCGTCACGAGGGATCTCCAGGAAGGCGGCGGTCATGATCTGCTCCGTCCTCGCGCCTCTCATCCTCCTGCACCACCTCACCGACCGCTGCGCCTCGCCCTCACCGGTGAAAGGAGCCTCCCCGCCCGGTCGAGACTCGGGACTTTTCGACAGCAACTCGGGGACGAAGAGGAGGCTCGCGCGGTCGGAGCTGACGAGATACGGGGCCGCCCGGCGCGCCTCGCGGGCTCTCGCGGATGAGCGCGCGAGGAAGGTGGATGCGCAGCTTTCCGAAGAAGAAGAAGAGGAAGAAGAGGGAGGTGGAGGAGAGGAGGAAGAGTCCGCAGCAGTCGCCTTGTCCGGGAAAGTGTCGCCCCGGTTCACCGGTAAACTCAGCCCGCTCGGGGAGGGGAGCAAGAAGCTGCCTCAGGCTCTCATCATCGGGGTGAAGAAGGGAGGAACCCGGGCTCTGCTGGAGTTCCTGCGGGTCCATCCGGACATCAGGGCCGTGGGAGCAGAACCGCACTTCTTCGACCGCAACTATGACCACGGGCTGGACTGGTACAGGTGAATATTAATGACCTTAGACCATTTTATACATGCATTAAAATTTTTTTTTATTTTTAAACCAACATAATTAAATTAGGTTGTTTTATYTTAAAATAAAAGCGAATTACAAACAGAAAATCCAGGCTTCTAGATTGTTTTAGTCATTAAATTGCCACATTGATAAATTGTGTTTTTCCAACTTTTTATTTAGCCTATACATCACTACAAGACATGTCTRCATAACCCAGAAATCTTTATTTTACATCTCAACTTTTAGAAAGTAGCCTAATTGTGTCTGAAAGAGCTTTGTTGATTTAGGCCTGCTTTTATTAGATGCTATCAAGCTGCTCATTTTGTTTCACATTTAAAGGTTGACTGCTTTTAGTCTGAGCAAAAGGTATATATATATA